ATCGCCATTCATCCTGGATGGTTACAGCGTTTCGTGTCTGCTACTGAATTGGACAGTGATAAACAATTAAAGATGCAATGTAACTGGCTAGAATGAATAATGAACACGAATTGTTGTTATATAATTGCTACTACTAAATCCAATACAAATATCGAAGGGAAACAAACACGTAACGAATTCTAATTATTTGTATTTTATATGAATGCTTGGTGACGTGCGTATGCTGTATCTAACACATTTCACGCAAACATTTGTGAATCGTTAATTTGAATATTCGATTATGATAGTATATACATGTGTCGCATTACTTATCCAACTTACATGCATTGTAAAGCAGCAGTTGAGTCTGAGTATATATGCAAGACAGAATCAAAAAATAAGCTCTCTGATTGGTCCGATTGTTGGGGCTGGATAGCCAATCGGCTACAATATTCTAATAAGCTTTGCATTGCCCCCAAAACAGTTATGGCGAAGTCTGCCTTGTATCGAACTATCCAGGTTTGATTGAAAAGAATTTTTCTAGCTCTATATAAACAGTAAAATAATGTACAAAATGCGGATTTACTGGTTCAGAACTGTGCTGGGCTCAGCTTACTAGAATACGAAATAAACTCGAATGGCAGTTAATATATAATTGATACTACTAAATCCAATTTCGAAGAGCGGGACGTACATGTGACGCATTTCAATCAGTAGTCATTCATAATATACTCTTTTAATATTTTTTACAAGCTTCTGTGGGGGTAGATAACGGCAACAACTTGAGCCTCGTTCGAAGATTCGTTTTTAGAAACAATTAATTTTTGCTGTCAAAATGAGCAACATTTTTTTTATTTCTATGTATTTTTCTTAATTTTTGGGGTCAATGAACTTTTCCTATTTGTTACACGTTGTTGACAAAGTAAGACACAACTTTTGTGGGTGTTATTTTGTGATAAAAATGTTGTGTGATATGTTGATATTTCATAATATTTTATTTAAAATGATTTTACGAAATCTGGGAAAAATGTTCATCAAGCGACCGCACATTTTAAAAAAAAGGCTTCATAATCCGGAAACCACATTTTGTTCATTGTTCGTATTTTGTGATAAACGTGACCGTTACTGAAGTAACCACTTATTTAGGGACTGATGTGTCCATTGTGCCAACGGAACAATCGTGTATATAATCAAGGAAGCGCCAGCAGTCCAAGAGAAAACAAGCGTCTATTCATGAACCTCTCCGTTTCTGGCGCGCGTTGTCTATGTGGCCTTGGACTCAATTCACACGTGTGTTCGGGTGACAACCCAACACCTCAATTTGAATTCGATGGTAGCTGGATTCGATTTTTTGCAGGATAGGTCTTTTGGAAACACACTAGATAGCTCGCACAACTCACAGAAAATGCCAACTTGTGATAGATTTCTGCAATATTCATATCAACTCTTAAAGTTACAGTTCAGGTAATACATAAATGTATAGACTCTTACCTTAACATTTGACCTTAAAATGTTAATATTGGGATCACAAATAGCAGTAACATTTGTGATATGTTTTAAAAGCAGTGACGATATTATGGCGATCATATATACTATGACATTTTGTCTCATGTGGGTTACATAGGGAACCTGTGTGTCAAGTTATAAGTTCCTAGCTATTTAACTTGTAGCTCAATGCTGAAAACAAATAAATCAATACTGTGATCTTCACCTTTCATCCGAAAAGGCGCGCCTCTGTAATTATACAGAAATTAAAACATAAATATATATTTATCAGTATAACTTTGACCTCAAAAGTGTTGTGAATGGCATTGGAAACATGTATGTCAATTTTTGAACGTGTCGGCCATTTTCCCAATGTAGTTGTATTGTATATTATAGAAATACACAATAAACGCATACTATGACCTTGAAATGGCCTGTTGGCTTCAATGAGATACACGTGTTTCAAGTTCCCAGCTATTACCCCTTGTTTCTCAACACTGGGGTAAATATGCATCAAAGACGCGTGGGGTCAACACATCAACAGCGTGTTGCCGATGTTCGCTAGGCGCGGGTCAATAGCGCTGTACTGCTTCGTGCATACTTCGTATTATATGGTGCGCAAATACGTATTTAGTTCATGATATCAGTTAAAGCAAAAATAAAGGATGACTGTGTGTTATTACACTCAATGTAATATTGGAATTAACCTCATTTAGTCCATAATTTTTCCTATAAAAATATCGTAGAGTTTAATAATTTAACTATTGCACATTATTAAAATATGAATTCCCGGGGCGTCTTAATTTGACGCTACCCACGTCAATTAATGATAGTTTAAATTGATTTCTTTGCTGCCTGCTTGATTTCAAGTCGAATGTCACGACCCTCATAACTGTTTTTGTGTTAACAGATTGTGTGGGCTGATTTGAGCATGTGTCGAAATTACTATTTTGTATTACAAGCTGCTAAGGGGCCTTTAAAAACAATTTGTATTTACGTCAACGTCTCACAACTTGTGATGAGTGTATGGAGAGGCCGTGCAGGTCAACATTGACAGACAATTTTCTTAGGAATACGTATCTGGAGTGTTTACGTACGCATACGTGCTTAGAATATTGTTTTGTTTGTGCTTTTACGTGTGTGTTGTTTATCTCTTTTTATTTTAATCTATTCTCTAATTTTCGCGTCTTTTTCCTTGTATCGTTTGAAAATATGGTAACGTAATTTAGAGTCACGTGATATTTCGGTCAGAGTAGGTCATTTATTTGTCCATCTAGTTTATCCTCGTTCGTAGCCAGACTTGATAGAATATTCCTCCAAATATATAATTATCACAGCATAACTCCTCGTATGCATTTGACGTGCTCGAAATCGTTTGCCACGGAATAAAATTGTACTGTCTGATACGCAACAAATTCAACAAAATAGTCCCTTCCGATATTGAGATTATTATTAGTAGTTGTTGCATGACCTGAATTTTCAATGTAAAGTTTGGCACCTTATAATTATTGTTGAATGCTCTGGTTATGTAATTTAAATAATACCACCATAGAATAACTATGCAAATTAGTCACGTGCCTATGTAGTTATCATTTAATCCGTCTCAAAGATAAACATTATGCAAATATCCACGAAACGGCAGTTGTGGTTATGTGTGTTAGCTTTTAAAACGCTAATTTGAGCAGCGTCTTTCCGAAATTTCGATCTTTTGAAATGCTAGGATGACGTACCAAGGACTACAGTAATTTTTTTATTATTTTTTGAAAAATCAAGAAAAAACATTTCCCTTCTCGCTACCTTAAAGGGCGGTGGTCGTGGCGCCACGCATGCTTGAGATATGGGTCTCATATACACATTATACATCTGTCACTGTAACGCCATAAGTTACAGCGTGCCGTAATTGCGCGGTATTGCACTGGGTATTTTCATCCTACCATATTAGAAAACGCGAATTCCAAATATGGAACGATTACGCGCGTAAGGGTCTTCTAATAATAAAAAGAAACATGGCTGCCCCCAGGATTTGACCGGAACTCCACACAAAAAAGCTAAATCTGTTCTAAATGTTATGGTTTTCGGCATTCCACTGATGTATTCCTGGGAGGAAGAGCCGTATAATAATAAGGTCAATCCGAGGATACTGCAAAGTATGCACACATACAGTACGCGGTCGATACTGCTGCTGTACTGTCTTCGTGCATACTTTGCAGTATCCTCGTAAAAACCTCATAGTATTGCGAGAAACAATGGTGGTATTTTTTCGAGCGCTTCCAGCAATATCACGCGTTATCGCCGGACCTCTTTATCACATGCCTATTGTGCGGCAGCATCTGCACCAAAACCACGAAGGTAACCAGGAGATGAAGGGCAAGTATGAAAAGTAGCAATGTGTACCACGAGAGCAGAGCCCCGCTTGTGAAAATACGGCCACAGGATACTCCTCATACAGACAGACGGACGGACGGACGGACGGACGGACGGACGGACGGACGGACGGACGGACGGACGGACGGACATACATAAGACAGACATAAGACAAACATAAGACAGACATAAGACAGACATAAGACAGACACAAGACAGACACAAGACAGACACAAGACAGACACAAGACAGACACAAGACAGACACAAGACAGACACAAGACAGACATCAGACAGACATCAGACAGACGGACGGACAAACATAAGACAGACATCAGACGGACGGACGGACAAACATAAGACAGACGGACGGACGGACGGACAAACATAAGACAGACGGACGGACAACCATAAGACAGACGGACGGACGGACAAACATAAGACAGATGGACGGACGGACGGACAAACATAAGACAGACGAACGGACGGACGGACAAACATAAGACAGACGGACGGACGGACAAACATAAGACAGACGGACGGACGGACGGACGGACAAACATAAGACAGACGGACGGACGGACGGACGGACAAACATAAGACAGACAGACGGACGGACAAACATAAGACAGACAGACGGACGGACGGACGGACAAACATAAGACAGACAGACGGACGGACAAACATAAGACAGACAGACGGACGGACGGACGGACAAACATAAGACAGATAGACGGACGGACGGACGGACGGACAAACATAAGACAGACAGACGGACGGACAGACGGACGGACAAACATAAGACAGACAGACGGACGGACGGACGGACAAACATAAGACAGACAGACGGACGGACGGACGGACAAACATAAGACAGACAGACGGACGGACGGACGGACAAACATAAGACAGACAGACGGACGGACAAACATAAGACAGACAGACAGACGGACGGACAAACATAAGACAGACAGACAGACGGACGGACGGACAAACATAAGACAGACAGACAGACGGACGGACGGACAAACATAAGACAGACAGACAGACGGACGGACGGACAAACATAAGACAGACAGACAGACGGACGGACGGACAAACATAAGACATATATAGGTGTATGTTCGATGCAAATAGTGTATGTTTATAACTTTGAATAATATTACATTGCAGGTTCTGTCCCAGTGTGCTATTTTATCTTGGATGTGTTCTACCGTGCATGTGGATATTAGAACTGGAAAATATGGAGAAACGTCTTGTTTATCGAGACACCCACGGTTTGGCAAACTGTTCGGAAATCAATATTTTTGATAAGTACGAAAGCCTCGTTGCTTCTAATGGGGTAAGAGGACATTGTTACGTATTTCATACATCGTAGGGTCAAGCTAATTAGCTAAGATTCAAGTGGATAACAGCTGATATACTATGAACGGAAAATGTACCATTCCATATTTCGTATTAGGCATGAACACGAAATTATGTTTCTGGTCAACGTGCCAACAAATATTTTAGCGAGGACTCACTATTTAAAAATTTATTTTCTCATAGCACTATGTTAGGAAATGTTCAGTGAATATCGACAAATACTATAATACTAGTTCTGGTGTTTCACAATGAAAAAAACAACAACAACAATAGACCTTAAACAAAAATGGCCGCCATAATCTCGCTAAGAATAAGAAACCTGCAATACTAGTTTTGCTCCTCAATTAGACTTTCATTAAATCACCTCTTTACAAAATCAAATATCGTGCCCTCTCGCTCTCAACGAGATTTCAGTCTAAACTCTTTTAAAGCTCCCGAGTATACATGTACGTAGTAGCATTCGGATGTTTCTCAACAGAGTGTCTAATGGTAAATACATCGTCGTATTTTAACCCACTTTAGTTGAACCTGTCGTGATTTATTATCTTAATAAGACTGTTGTATTGTATATCGTACTGTCTCTTTCTTTGATAATTCTGTGTTTTGTTTTAAAGCGGGGGAGTCGTCGCCTACGCATGCGTCAAGCGGCCATAGCGTGTCACTGTTTAAAAACAAGCGTCTATCCATTAGCCTTTGCGTTCTAGCGTGTGTTGTTATCATCGCTTGAGACTCAATTCCCACGCGTGTCCAGGTGACGACCCTCCCGCTTTAAGATTTTCAACTGCGGTGTCATGTGATGTCATTGCATATTCATTTCATCCAACAGGCTTGCGTTATACGTCAGCATGCTTGTTCGTTTCTTTTATAGCAGTGTCTTATTCCACCAAGCGTAGAGTTATCAAAAACTACGAATATCTCCATGACATGTAAATATTAAAGAACGGGACAACGCCATGATGAATTATGGGTACTTGATATTCATGTCATGTTTCGATTTACAGGTTGAGTTGCCGATCTCGTTTAGAAGCAATGATTGGGTGTTAGCAATGCAACAACTATTATTAGGACTACTCATTGTAGGAAGATGGATCCTCCCAAAAGGAGAAATAACACGTGACCAGCTATCGCAATTGCTATTGGTCTATATTGGAATAGCTGCCGACATCTTGGAGTTTCAATGA